TGTTCAAATATTCGGGGGGAGGGGTTCCCCCATTCTTCCTTCAAGGAACTTGATGCTGAGTTCATTCAGGCTGAGTGTATCCAGTCTTGAGGAAAATCCAAGTTAGACATGAAAATGCTAGAAATAATGGCAGTAATCCAAGTCTTTCTATCCTTTGAACCATTTGGCTGGTAAAATGTCATCAACACACAACAGAGAATGGCATCATCCCTGGTAGGTCAGGAAGCAGACATGAATGTTGTATTAAATATTTCTTGTCATCTCATATTTTCCAGAACACATTGGTTGATTCCTCTGTATTTTGTAGCTTACATGGATTTTTTTAGCCTGAACTCTAAACTCTACTACAGCTTGCAAAACCAGCTTCAAGAATTCCTATATTCAGTCTGTAGGCAGTTATATTAGAATGCATTCACCAATGTGTGATGTATTTTGTGTGAACTGTTGCATGCTTCTTTCAAATTTTCTCTGATTCCCTGCTTATAGGCAGTTATATTAGAATGCATTCACCAATGTGTGACGTATTTTGCATGAACTGTTGCATGCTTCTTTCAGATTTTCTCTGATTCCCTGCTTCTTTCAACTCCTGGATAGCAAAATTTCACAACATCCCAGTGGCATAAACTTTATTGCTGCTTTAATGCATGAGACGAAGAACTAGCTAATGGATTTACATTTTTGTCAAGCTATTACTATTAGAATGCATTCACCAATGTGTGACGTATTTTGCATGAACTGTTGCATGCTTCTTTCAGATTTTCTCTGATTCCCTGCTTCTTTCAACTCCTGGATAGCAAAATTTCACAACATCCCAGTGGCATAAACTTTATTGCTGCTTTAATGCATGAGACGAAGAACTAGCTAATGGATTTACATTTTTGTCAAGCTATTACATTTTAATTAGCTATTAATGAATGTAAATCAGCAGTTGTGTAATGCAAAGAATTGATGAAGAAGGCTACAGAGCCTTAATTGTTCAGAGAAATCCAGATGTATGTCTGGCATAGATTAAAATAATAAAGAGTTCTTTTTTAATTGGCAAATTTCTGAGACCTGCAAAGCTACATGATATTCACTGAGTGCAAGGAAATGATTGATCAAGTCATATGTGAAAGAGTAGGAGAGTCTTATTTACTGGCTAAGTCAGCTAAATACTGAGCAGGAGCTGGTGCCCCTATTCCATATGCTGACCTTCAGCCTTGCCTGTTCCTGTACATACTCCAAGGGAATGGTCTCTTGTCAGGCACTTTGTCCTAACAACTAACGCTTCCTATATTTCTTGCAGAGGACCAGCTGTGATATCTGAGACTCACACTGTCATTAATCATCTTTCCCATTATCACATTAGAACTGTGAGTCTCATTTACAATACAGTTTATTGGGAAGTAGGATTGGAAGTTTATTGGAAGTAGTTCATTGGAAGTAGGGTGGTACATGTAGACTTTTAAAATATCTGATTGCTTCTATTTAATTCTTTAAGAATTGGAAAAACCTGGAATCAGTGCCTCTGTCTCTTGATCTTACTACTCTTAAGAGTCCTTAGTGCTCATTGAAAGGCATATTTACTCATCACCTCATGAGGATCCTGTGATTACATTGGAATAGCAAATTTCATTAATATAAATAGGTAAAAAGGGTCAAACAAATCCCTAATAAATAGCAGTTTTCAAATTACATTTTAAAATCCTCATATGGAAACCGAAAATAGTTATAGCAATGCTACTTGCTCAAAGAAGATCTGAAAAATATCTCTCAGAGGAGTGAACAATTCAGTTCAGTTTTAACTGAATACAAAAGTTTAAAAGCCAGCTGTGATGAGCTTAATCAGCTGCATTCCATCAGAGGGCAACAATAACAGTGTACAATTTATGGAAAAAGGTAATAGTATGGAACAGTATTCTTCTGCATTGCTGTTTCTGTGGCAGAAAGACTATTAAATAATAAAATTGAAAAAAAGCAAACATTTGCAATTTTTGTGTGCACCTGAAGCCAAATCTTGCTCATTTGCTTACCTGCTGAGGTGTGATGCATTCCATGTTCTTGTTTGTTTCTTCCGCAGAGCAAGCACAGCCATCATTGTGAAAAATGTCCATCTCTGATTGCAACATCTAGCGCACAAAGTTGACTGAATTTGGCCATGGTTCATGCTTCTGTTTCACTTCATATCATCTTCCTGTCCAGTATTCTTCATGTCTATGATGTCCTAACATATTTGGCCAAATTAATTTTTGGTACATATCTAGTAATATGTGTTTGTACTGCTAACAATCTGTTATGCTTCCAAGCATTCTTCCGTAATAGCTTTCACTGAAATCTATTCTTGCATTATTGGTCTCTTGTCAACATGACTTGCCTCTTTGCTAGTCAGATGCTAGATACTGCAGACCCCTTATTTTTGACACCTTCTTCCACAGTTGGGTAGTTACCAGATCCCAGATTACTTTCTCTATGGTGTTAGATTTTTTTTTTCCTAATTTGCATTCATGGAAGTTAAACCAGTATAGAATATGATCCTTCAGCACCCGTTTTTTGAGCATGAAGTAGAAACAGGTAGTTCCTGCTAGCTTCAATTCTGCTTCCAGAATTCTTCCTCTATCTTTGCCTTCAGAACAGAATTTATTTTCTAGCATCTTCTTTTGTTTCCTTTTTTGCCATTTCTTATTTTTTATTGCTCTGGAGAAACACATCTTTCTAAAGAAAAGAAACCGCCTGCCTTGTTTATTTAGCGTAGTGTCTGCTGATGTGTTCTATTTAAAAATATTATGTGCTTATATGTTTGCAGTGCATTGTACTGGTGTGCTCTGATGAAAACAAATGGTATTCATTTGCTTCAGTTACATAGTGTTGTGTGCTGTGATTGTGCTTAATAAATCATAGTATTACAATGAGTTCAGTAACATTACGGAAGACAAAAGAAGTGTTTCTCTTTTAGATAATGTGTCAAGTAACAGAAGATTTTTTTCTCTTTTCATTTATGAAAAATGTTTACATTTATGTTTTAATTCTTAAGGATTGTAGACCTGGATCATCTGTAGATTAAATTTTACTAAATGTATGTTGTAACATGCTGGGAAGAACAATGTTGGCTAATGTTTTTCTTTCTGTGTTCTCAAGACAATCATAATCTTAAAGATCAGTAGCTTTTGATGCCTCATTTAGAACACTTTTTTTCCCTGTAGTGTCCAATATTTATGCACGTGAATGATAAACATTTGGGTGTTCTAAAATTAATCACACATAACAATATTTAGTTCAAGGTAGACCTGAACACCTATCATGCAGTTTGTAAATGGTAACAGAATTAAAAATAATGCATTTTAAGAAATCGTCATCATACTACCTAAAAGATAGACATGGTTATTTTAATTAATCAAAGTAACAACAGTTAAAACAATTATGCAGTGTAGGTGGTTACATCATACTTTAGAAAATGAGCTGGATATTTTTGAATGAGAAAATGATGTTCTAATCGTGCATCTACATTTCACAGGGACATTCAAAGTACACAAGACACCTGATGTACTTTGTTAAAAAAAATTAGTCTATGTATGAAGTAAACAAAAATACTCCTGAAGTACTTAATACGTAACTAACTTGCCACTTAATAGATATTTTTAGGTTGCTTTAGGAATAAATCACAAAAGTCTTGAAATAGCTTTTTTCTGTCAAAAAGCAGTGGATTTTGTCCACCTTTACTTTTAAAAAAATCATGTAAGATTGTTGGTATCTTATAAAGCATCGATTAATTTTATATTATTTCTTCATCCACAATATGTGCTAGCTCCTCTAATGCTTACCCTTAAGTAACATCGAAGAGAGGAGGAAGCTGAAGCTGATGCACAGCTTGCTCAGTATTTGCATGAAGAATGAGAACAGGTTACCACTGCAGCAAACACAGTCTGGTTTGAAGTCTGCAAAACACAGTGAACTCACATCTCTGCCTATAGCTGTTTAGTGATGATACTGTAAACACTGGAAGAAATTCAGTGGTGATTCTTCTTTTCTTCTAAAAGAATGTTGTACCCTTGGTTGAAGCAGTTACACTGTCATTTCAGGGGGTTTCAGATTATTCAGCTACATTCTATATAGATTCCAAGTTAACAATATCTTTAATTTAAAGATGTGTTTTAGTCATTTACCTGTCTATACACAAAACCCAAAATTTAACATAGAAGAGCAAACAATAAACTCTAGGTGTTAAGTATTTGTTAGGAATGTACATTGCAGATATACTAGGTTTTCTAAAAAGCTTTCAGATCTATGCTTACATTTTAGAAGAACATTTTTGTTCCCATAATGGTAGGAATGGGTATGTCCCACACTTAATTCCCTTTGTAGTGAATGCTTTTGTGTCAGAAATCTAGCAATATTTATTTAGATGGAGTTCATGAACTGCAGGGCTAAATACAGACTCAGGGTGAATCAAGTGTCTCAGTCTGGTTTTATCTTTAATTTTTATCTAGGGGTATTGTTGAATGCTTTAAGAAAAAACTTGGATTAGTATCGCAACTCATTTTGCCTACTTGATTTTGCACCTAGGATGAAAGAGTAGAGTAAGGGGTGTTTCCAATGCTGTTTTAGTCCAAATTTTCATCATTCTTTAAGGAAAGGAGTTTACTTAAAATTTAATTACTTTGGTGGTTGGCAATAAATTGCTCTGAATTGCTTTTGTAGTTAAATACTCCAGTTTATTTTACAGCTTCAAATCAGAAAAAAAGCCCCATAGTATTCTAGAATTCAGAATTTATTTTGCATGTAGTTCCCTCTCCTGTATTCTGAACAGCAGAATAAACCACACAGTGACCACAGGAATGTCCCATTATTCAGATGAGTTTGTCAAAGATTTCAGTCCCTTTACTGCAGCAGATTTTATTCTCTTTCTACATGCATAATTTGGAAGGGAGTGTCTGATATATTTCTCTAAAATCCAGTGTTTTGTTTTTGTTTGTTTTTTCTTCTAGTGACTGAGTATTAATCTATTTCTTTATTCATTTTTTTAGATTAAAAAAATCAACAGGAATTTTCCCGTAAACCAGCAGGTAAGGAAAAGTTGGAGTTGTTTGATTTATAACCTTAATTCTCATTTGAACTGTATTCAATTGTGTGGTAGTTGTACTTTATTCTAACTGAAGAATTCTCAGTAGATTTTTTTTAGAGAGTACCTTGATGGTTTTATATTCTAAAGTCAAAGGGAACTGGAGTGTTTGGTCGAAGTAAGAACACATCTAATTTTATCAAATTAAGCTGTTTGATGCAGATAGATAGATAGATAGGTAGATAGATAGATAGATAGATAGATAGATAGATAGATAGATTAGATAGATTAGATAGAAATTTTCTTCAGATTGCATCTTGCCTACTTTACTATAAAAGGGGGAATGGGATTGTTATGCTTTTCAGAATTAGCTACTGTCCATCAATGTTCCAAAATTCTAAAAATGTATGAGGTTTTTGGTGGTTTTTTTGCCTGTTGACATATGAAAGCATAAAAAGTTAATGTCTGCACAAGGTTATGTAGCAAGCCAGCAGCAGAATTTGAAACAAACAGAATCTGTCTGTCCTCAAGCATTGGCAGTCGCACATTACTGGAAAAATCTGGAATGGCTTTAAAAAAGAGGATAAGATTTCTTGAATAGGGATGTTTTCTTGTAAAATGAATCATAAGCACAATTGCTGCAATTCCCTACAGCTGTGTGTCAGGTGATTGGAACCATGGGATGAAGGGATAGATCTTTGTTTATTGATAAATATGTTTTTCACACAATTTTTTAAAGAAGCAAAGCTACAGGCAGCTCAAAGTTCAAGGCTGAAGTTTTGAGGTTCTAGTTGCTAGGGACCATAGTAGGAGTGGACAACAGCCACACGTCCTCAAAAGGATCAGCATATCTTTTAGAAAACTATGTAAACAAAGTATGACTAAAAATATTCAGGATAAAACTCAGTTCACTGTAAAGTTAAGTGAGTATGCATGCATTGTGTATTGCAACTATTATATAATGGCAATTTCATTTTAAGAAATGTGATAAGGAAAAGCTTTCTCTGAATCAGAGAAATCTGATTCATCAGAAGAAGCAAATTAATTCCTTGTAGAAGGACAGAAGCATATATAGGAAGGCCTGAGCTGTAAACTTGCCTTCAAGATGACAGATTTGAGGAAGAAAATTGCTTTCACCTCTCTTACACCACATCTTCAGTCAGACAACATATTTCTCAGTTCCCTGTCTCTGGTTCAACTTTATTAATATGGAATTGTGCTGAATCTTTCACAAGGGAGGGAGATACTGCTATATTGTTTTCTGTTTTCTTCATGAGACAGTCCACAAATTGTAATAAAGTAATGACAATAACAATTATAACAGCTATATGGGTCAATGTAAATGTGCTGCAATAATTGAAAATAACACTTGCATTTGGGCATTTTCAGAAGAGTTTCTATAACATCAGTTGCTGACAGTGGCAAAGAAATTATCCTATCTCAAAACAAGAGAGCAATGCCTTGTAAACCAAAAGCAGTTAATTACCTCCATTTTCACTCTTATGATTTACCCTGAACTTACCCTGCTTTTATTACTGTAAAAAAAAGCAGACAACAAAAATATAAACAACAGTTACAATGTCCCACTAGGCTAACATAGAATTTAGGGATCTCTGCTGTTTTGGAACCCTTTGCATGCGGGATCAGTAAGGTATTTCCCTCTTTATTAAATTACACTGGAAAGCAAAAATCTTGGCTTGAATAGCTTGTTGGTCATGTTGTCTGTTAGGACAGCCTACAATTATAATGCATTCTTCTCTCATCAGTACCAATCATTATATTCCAAAGAAATTAGCATGGAGCATTTCAAGAAACTCATCCAAAAGATCAAACTGAAAACAGAGAGGCTGATTTGATGGGCAATGGCACTGGTAATGTCTCACTGTCCATCAAATACTGGAAGTTTATTGATCTCTGGATGTCTTGAAATTTTAGGGAACATTAAATTCAGACTCCCTTCTGGTTTTAACTTATGTAAAGAAGGTTGCAGCTTTTAATTGTAGAAGGAGTAAAGAAATATCACCTAATTTAAGTTAAATAGTATTTCTGAGTAAAGTCAGAAAAGGACTACACAGATGTAAGGCTGATCTCCATCTTCTAATGTACAGCAAGGATTAACACAGTATGCAGGGAAGGAACAGGACTTTACTTGTTATATCAACACATCATTATTTATCTAAAAATTCAATTATTTTCTTGAATTCTTTTGTCATTTTGACCTCTTTTTAATAAAATAAATTTTTGCCTAGGAGGCTGAACATCTGTTTTTAACTTCTTTCTGCAAGTATTTCATCAACTTAAAAGCTGTCTTCATCCTATTATGCTTTTTTAAAAAGTGAGCATATTTAATGTCACTTAACAAATGCCCATGGTTTTTTTAATGAGCACCAGAAGGGTGATTGAATGTTATTTTCACTTAGAATTTTTATATATAAATATCTGTATTTTAATGAGTTAGGTGAAGAGGGGAAGGCAGTTGTCGTACTGTAGTCAAAGAACCAATCCAGTTAGAATTCCTTTATGAAAATATTCCTGATATGGAGAATAAAATATGGGCACAGCAGAGCCATTAGCATTACTCTGCAGAAACAAATATAATTACATAGGTGTGGGAGATACTTTAATGATGTTATCCAAATGTCTCAATGTTGCAGTAAATTAAAAAGATAAGAGAAAAACAATTAGAAAAGACTTGTTGATATCACATAACATGGTAGCTTTCTTTTAAGGCACGAATTGTGAAAGTTGGTTTGTCTGGAAAATTATTAGAAAGATAAGCTACATTCATTGAAATTAGAAGTTCAAAGGTGATGAGTATTGATAAGAAAGTGGTAATTATGTGGACAGCATGAAGAAATAAGAACTTCTGAGAATGCTGTTAATACGTTTAATAATGTTGGAAAAATGATGCAAAAGGTGCTGGAAGAGGACCACAGAGGCGAAATATTGTGGAAGAAAATTGTGGGAGAAGAGGGAAATAAAGCTCCCCCTCTCTGAGCTAAGTGATGAAAAGAACGAATGAACATAGTAAAAATTAGGTTGTTTTCTCTATATTGGTACAATACGCACAGGTTATCTATAGTACTATCTAAGAGAAAAGAAGCAAGTAGTTGAGAAAAAAAATTAAATAATTTGATACTCAAATATAATGCATATTTTAAAATGCACTAAAAATAGTATGATGTAATAGATGAAATTTCCATCACTTAACCAAAAAAACAATACAGACCTCATAGCAGAGAGGCACAAAGAATGGAACAGTTCAAGGTTTCAGCCAGGGGCTTCTCTATTTGATCAGCCAAGATGGAAGCAGAAGCACAGGCATGTTTTTTTTTTTTTGGAACTCATCACCTCTGTTCAGCTGTTACACTGATTGCTGCAAATGTCAGCTCCTGCGAGAGACATCATTAGGCAGGTGAGTTCTGAAACGTGGCATTGACTCCCTGCCAGCCCTTTCCAAATGGCAGGAAAATGCACCCTACCTCAGCAAACTGTGGTGGTGTAATGAGAACAAGCACTGCCCATTCCTTTTCATTTCCCAATCTTTACAATAGCCACCGTGAATTTGTGAATATGCTGGTCTCAGCTGAAAGTCAACTTGATAGCATCTGGGGAAATCAGCATTTGAGAGTCTTTCTTAGGAAATCATCTGATCCTTCTCAGTGTGAGAAACCAAATGTATTGCCTCTGGCTACTAGAGATTTTACTATACATTATAACTCTCATTTGATATTTGGGATTCATTGGGATTTGGCTTTTACTGGTTGCCATGCAAGGAGGATGAATTGGTTACATCTGGCTTAGATACGCAGTAGAATTCAAGGTTTAGATCTAAATCTTAGTCTGGTCTTTGGTTCACTTCCTCCTGTTCTTACATACGCATGCAACTACTACATTCATAAACTGCAGTTGGGAAAGTCATAACTTTCTGATTCCAGTTTTACTGTATTCTACTCAACAAGCTAACAGTACAAAGCAGATTCAGTACGTGGCAAATTCGGGGATTTGATTTTCTGTTTTATTGGATTATGGCTATGTTCACATACACATTGACAAATGTCATAAATAGACTCTAGTTTCTCTGCTACACAAACAAAAGTCAGGTCTCAAGGTTTCATATAAAACAGAGATTAGAATATCATGGCAGAGCAATGTATTTAAAGCTTATTTTCCACATGCTGTATGTCTCATCTCTTTTTAGATGAATTCACAGGCTACAACCTTCATCAATGCTTAGTTCACAAAAAAGTATGATGGAGAAGAATGCTATAATCTTTTAATTTGAACTCTATTTCTCTTCTAACCACAGGCAGCATGATAATTTTTGAGATTTGTCTTGTCTCCACACATAATGAGAAATTTTCATTACATAATTTTAATTTCTAAGAATAATCTTTCCCTCTAGAATTTTCCTGCTTTTCTGGAAGCCATCCATTTCAAAGTTAACAGTTTATAACGAGAATTATGTGACAATGAGAAAGAGTTTTTCCACCTCCACGTCTGTGTTTAACCCAGTCTTAAAACAACATCATAGCATAATGAACTGATGCCACACTAAGGCCAGAAACTTAAGTATAATTGTGCCTGTCAGATTCCACAGCACTCTGTTGTCATGAATCCCATTGTTTTGCAGACATTTTACATTCTTGATGACATTCATAAATATACATGGTTATGCTCATTTTCTCTTGCTTTTGGTATAATTTAATATAAACAACTACATGCAGCTGTTCCAGACCAGGTATGTAAAATCACCTCGTATTCTGGCTTAATAGGCTGTTGTTCAGCTTGATTAAAGTTATGCAGTTAGAAAAATCTCATCTAAAATCACTTCTAAAAATTCAGTTCAGCAAGTTTATTTGATAAAACCTAAATTATACACACTGTATAAAGGTGAATACACACAAATGTCATGGTGACTGGCTTGCTTGTCAATCAAGCCAGTGTCCTTTGCTGCAGATGTGTTGCGTCTCTATTGCATTTGAAAAGGTGACTTCCATTGTT